TCTGTGATCGTCACCTCCGGCACACAGCTCACATATGGCTTCAAATAATTGTCACCTAAAAAATTAAACACCGCCCAAAGAAAATTTTTTAATCAGCTAATATTCCTCCATCGGCCCGCAAGAATTAATTTGAAAATACTGGTCTAGTCCAGTATTTTAATTACTACTATTAATTTTACCTATGGCTCGTGACATGGCAAGAACTCCTTGGACACGTGGACAATCCCAATATATTACGCGTCCACCGGCGGCCTGTATCCGATTCAGTTCATCTGGCCGATCCGGCTGTAGATTACAAAATGGTGGTGGGAAAACACACATAAATTTTAAAACCAAAGATGAAATATATATTTTAGTTAAGAAGAAAAGTGCCACGTAATGCGTTTACCTTATGATCGTCAGAGAGGGGGATGGCCTTGCCATTACGGCAAAGGACGGCACGAGAATCACCACAATTGGACACAATGATCTTATCTGGAGTTACAATTGCTACGACGGCGGCCGATCCAACTGCGTCGCATTCGGGCGTTTGAAGCTCGCAGCGGCAGTTGGAGGCCATCAAGCTGGCGCTGGATGTAACTACCTCCTTGTCCATACGAATGAAGCTTCGCTCCATTGCATTTTTCCATTCCGTACTTTCTTCTCTGCTCTCTAGCTCTTCCTTCACCAGCTCGTGCAACCGCTCTCTACACTTTGCCGCCACCTGTAAAATTCAAATTCTGCCGTCAATTTTAAGCCTTTAGATCCAAAAGAAAAAGGCTACCAAAAAAAAACTGATTCGTGTGTGCGCGTTTTTTTTGTCCTCACAGAGTATGTATATGCACACATAACGCACATGAGAGCATCCGTGACCGTCATAGACGGCGAAATAATGAAGCAGAGCGGCGTCTTCAAAGTCTCCGCGGCAAAACGAAGGACGAATCGCCACCGCGTCTTCCATATCTCTCCGCCTCCCGCAAACCGACGCCATTCCGAACTTTGGGAACGGTTTGGAATTGACAAGCAGCGTCGATGCCAATTGTGCAGTCAAAAAAATCGGAGCACCATTCAAAATCGGGGGGAACTCGTCGGTCATCTCCTTATTCATTCCGTTTTTCACCTTGGAGACAAGATTTTGATCCCCGACAGCGTAATCGCACTCCCGCGAAACCGACGCAGCCGGATATATCTCCAGCCTCGGCCGCTTCTTTCCGTTCTCCGCACCATCCTCCGGGTGCGCTACAAACTTGATCCTCCGGATCTCCATTCTCCTCCGCCTCGCCGCTCTGGAACTCGGCTTGCAAACCGACGACGCCGCCTCCCTCTCACTCGCCACTCCGCAACATATCTCCGCCATTCCGCGGCATGCACCTGCACCTAAATTCTTCCTCCTCCTTGATTACTACACACCAATCCAGCTCCAAATATTCAAAAAAAAATAAAAAAGAATCAAATTTGCTCCAACTTTATCTCTTCTACCTCTTCGTTTCCTCTCTTTTTTTTTTTTTATCTTCGTTTTGTTTTGATCTCGCAGAAAAGGAAAATGATGGAGAAGTAGATAATAAAGAAAGCAGTGGGAGGGGACAATTGGACCCCTTAAAAGGACACCAGTCTTCCTCTACTCTCCCTTTTATCTTCCTCTCACGGCGTACGCAGAGACCTCCTTAATTTTCCCGTTTCCTCTTCTTTAATTATTACTGTTCATTAAAAAAAAAAAACTCAAAAGCAGTAGAGCGCATGCTAAATGGGGATTGGACGACAGCGTTTTAGGTAGGAAATAGTAGTAGCAGCTGCCGCTGGGGTGGTGGTACAAATGTAAGAATTGAGAGGAGAGTTAATAATAGTGTGGTGCGTACCCGCCTAAATAAGTAGAGTAGTAAATCAGGGCCGTTAAAGTGTCCAAAAACATCTTCCACTCGTCGGTTCAAATACAACACGTGTAAGGGGACGGAAAGGCCCCAATACGTGGCCCGGCGGATTGAAAACACCACTCTATCCTTTATCAACGCTTCCTTTTCTGACACGCCTGTGCTCCTCGGACCACGTTCACATTTCTTATTCAATCTTCCGTCCCAATTATTTTACTATCATATTTTAAAATTTTAATTTTTTTAAAATAATATTTAATTGTGATATTTATACTTTTCTTGTTAATTTGAATTTGTTTGGATACCAAATTTTTCTAAATAATATTTCGTTTCCATCACAAAACACATTTCTCAACTTAATTTTTTATATTCTCAATCATTTTTAATCTTAATTTTAATCAATCCCTAAACTTTTTTTAATCAGATTTTTTAATGTCTATTTTTTTAAGTACACGTGTATAACTCATGGAGTACGAGATTGTATGTGATATTAGGAATTTTAAAAAGAAGGGGGGGGGGGGGGGGAGGCTTATACTGAATGATGGGGTCACGGGGTCCAATCACAAGTGATTACGTAGCAGAAGAATGAAGGTGGGGGGCGGGGGGTTGGGGGACCCACTGGTACGTCTACGTCGTTGACACTCGGCTCGGGAGAATATTTGAATATCTCGACCTGTGGGGGGGAGGGGGACGATGATGATGAAGAAGGTCGTCTTGGCTGTGATGGGAAGAAACATGACACGTTTCAAGAGTTTCGGTCCGATTGATTCATTTTTCACGTTCTTGTTTTGTCCTTTTTTAATTTTAGAGCTAACTCAAAAGTTTTTGTGACTAAAAATATGAAACCATGGAAATATTTATTACTATACACAGGAGTGCTGATGCCACAGTTAATTCAACAGCATCTTCATGACACAGGTATGTATTTTGAGCTTTAGCCACCTATTTTTCTCATATTATTGCATTCCTATTCATTTTTATCTCCTAAACATTCCATTTCTGTTGTTATACTTATATTGACGTTTAAAGCATCAAAAATTGCAGTTGGAAAATATAATAAAAGTACGCTTGCTCGAACATCTGATAGAAATGCCATTGGAGCTCTTTCTTCTAACCTTCAATTACCTGGCTCCAAGAATCAGACTAACACTGGTAAACTTCAACAAAATACCCCTCTGCATCAATATCACAGTAACAATGTTTTCCATATTTTCTATTTTTTTCCTTACTCTTAGCTTTACAAATGCATCATACTGGTTTCTCCACACTTAAGCTTGAAAATATCCTGTTTCTCTTCCACATGATACACATACAAATTGTTATTTGCATTTACAAATTGTTCTTGATACCCAAAATTATTATAATAATATTTCTTATTTTTTAATATGATCATCCATTTACTTTTTTCTATGCCACAGATAATCGATTCTGTGTATCCTACCCTGGATCAAAGCTCAAAAGTAGTCTCTTCTGCTTTTCTACTTATGAAGAAGGTATTCATTTCTATCATTTTCATGTAAATATAATTGGTTCTATAACAATTCTTATTTCAGCTACATAACTGTGCTTTTCTCAATTTTCTAAAACCTAGGTAATTCTTCAGCACCAACCATAAGCATATATGCTCAGATAGTGCTCCACCGCATGACAAAGGTCTGAAACTACTGCAAATAACTTGTTGTTTAATTCTTTCAAATTACTTTCAGCACAAAAATATACTGTTCAATATATGATGCTTTACCATGTTCATCTCACTCTTCCACTATCATTTATTTACATTGCGTCAACAGCTGAATCTTTCATGTGTATGAACTGCTTCAAATTTCTTCCCCAAAACATAGAAGATGCTCCAGGTACTCAGCACTGCTACAACTTTAGATCTACAAGATTCTACTGATCCGTATTCAACTTCTACATACATTTCTTTTCTTTATAATACCATTGATTGCACAACTTTGGCTTTCTAGAATTGTTAGCATTTGCAACAGAATATCAAATGAGCCAACAATGCTTAAAATCTATTGCTAAAACACATAAAGGTACAGATACAACCTCAGTTATTAATTTTCATTATCTAATGAGCATTAGATTAAACCTCTGTATATTAGAGTTAATTACGTTCTGTTAATATCCACACAGGCAACAAACGTTCAAGGTCAAGAAAAACTCAGAAATCTCACACCAGAGGTACAAAAACAAAAACTCTTATGAATGTAACATGATATACATTCAAAACTTTTTTGTCATTCTTTTTTTTGTATTCAACAATTACTATCACATTCATTGTACTGTAGGTGAAAAAGTTCCAGATGGAATTGAAGCACTGAAATGCATCAGCAGTGAACCAGACATACTGGCTCCCAAACCAGATTGCAGCTATTGCGAAGCAAAAAAACTTTATTCTGAAACACCAAATTTCTGCTGTTCTGCTGGTCAGATAGTTCTCCAAGAGAACAAACTTCAAGATATTCTCATAGAACTATATACTGGTCATTCTGCTGAAGCTCTTTCTTTCAGAACATATGTCAGAACATATAATAATATGTTTGCCTTCACCTCTTTCGGAGTACATTATGACAGATCCCTATGCAGGAGAACTAATGGTATCTACACATTCAAAGTCCAGGGACAAACCTATCACTTCATCAAGGATCTTATTCCACATGAGTGCAGGACTGTTTATTTGCAGCTATATTTTCATGATACAGAGCATGAGTTAGAAAACAGACTGGCTACATCAGAGAACCTAACAGAAAGTGCAGTGAAAAAAATTATGCATGTCATGGAATGAATCCATATGCCTCTTTTCTCCGAAGCTTAAAAAATGTTCCGAATCTCGACTCATATCAAATCGTCTTAAAGTCTCATTCAGAAAATGACCAGAGAGTTTGGAATCAACCAACTGCATCTCAAATTGCAGCCTTGTGGGTAGAGGGCCAAGAATCTGGAGAAGGATACAAAAGGCATATCCAAATCTATACTAAAGAAGGCAAGGATCATCTGGTGCACTACTATTATGGATGCTATGATCCATTGCAGTATCCGCTGCTGTTTCCATTTGGAGAGACAGGATGGCATCCTGTATATAAAAGAACACCACCACATAATCCAAACAAAAGGAAAAGATACAATAGAACAGCCAACTGCACTCTGCTTCTACTGATTGCAAATCTGCAGAAGAACTAATAGCAGCTGAACACCAAGGTATAGCAAAAATTATAGTCAATAATTATATTCCTCAGTATACAGTTACTATATCATTAGATTGATATTGAATAACATGTTCTACAGCTTCTCACAATCCTGAAAACAATAAAGAGTTTGTATCTATGCGTGAGTATTACGCATACAAGTTGCAGATGCGGAAAAATACACTCCAGGCATACTCAATACCGGCCGACTACTTCAACAATATGTCATCGATATGTACATCAAGATAGAATCTCAGAGACTTGATTATTACAGAAGCCGACAACAGTTAATAAGAAGAGAGGAACTTCAAGGCATAATGGACAGTGTCATGTCAGGACATTGCCAAGGATCCAAAATAGGTCAGCGAGTTATTCTTCCAGCATCATTCATAGGTGGTCCTCGCGACATGAGAAGAAGATATGTTGATGCTATGGCTCTCGTGCAAAAATTCGGCAAACCAGATTTATTTATCACTATGACATGCAATCCTTCATGGCCTGAGATGAAAAAACACATGCTACCTACTGATGAAGGTCATAACAGACCAGACTTACTCGCTCGAGTTTTCCATGCTAAGCTTGATCTTTTGAAGGACCAACTCTTCAAGAAACAAATATTTGGAGCAGTAGCAGCTTATACCTATGTTGTTGAGTTTCAGAAACGTGGTCTACCGCATACTCATTTCCTCATAATTTTAGAGCCAGGTTCAAAACTTTATTCCACAGAATCCTATGATAAAATCGTCAGTGCAGAAATTCCAGATATAACAGCAAATCAACATTTATTCAGAATGGTTCGAAAGCACATGATCCACGGTCCTTGCGGAGCACAAAATCCAGATAATGTTTGTATGCAAGGAAATCAGAAGAAAAGATGCAGAAATAATTACCCAAAATCATTTGCTCAGACAACCTTTCATGGAAAGAATGCGTATCCTACTTATCGAAGGAGAAATGATGGACAGAAAATAATTGTTCGTGGCCATCAGCTTGATAACAGATGGATAGTTCCACACAACAGATACTTATTGGCAAAATTTGATTGCCACATAAATGTTGAAATCTGTTCCACTGTGAAAGCTGTCAAATATATATACAAATATATATACAAGGGTCATGATAGGATTCATTTAGAGTAAACTCAGATGCTCCTGCTCAAGACAATAATAGCTCCCAACCTCTTCCAATCGATGAAATAAAGGACTTCCAATCAGCTCGATGGGTGTGTGCAGTTGAAGCAATTTGGAGAGTGTACAGATTTAACCTCAGTGAGATCCACCCTTCTGTAATTCATCTCCAGCTCCATCTACAAAACTGTCAGTCCATGAGTTTCACACCTGATCAAGACCTACGAGATGTAATCAGCAACAAGTATACAAAAAGAACTATGTTAACTGAATTCTTTTACATGAATTCTGTGGATGAGTTAGCTCAGGATCTTAAGTGCACATACAAAGAATTCCCAGAGCACTTCGTTTGGTACCCCGGAAGAAAAAAATGGGAACCTAGAAAGCAAAAGGACTGTATTGGCAGAATTGTCACAGCAGGTATAAAAGAAGGAGAACGTTATTTTCTTCGACTACTTCTAACACATGTGAAAGGCCCCAAATCATTTGAAGACCTCAAGACAGTGAATGGAACATACGTAAACACATTCCGTGAAGCAGCAATTCTCAGAGGATACTTTGAATCAGATACATCGCAAGAAGAATGCCTCGAAGAAGCCAGTTCATATCAAATGCCATACATATTGAGAAGGCTGTTTGCAACTTTGCTGGTACACTTTCTCCATTAAATGCTAGAAAGCTATGGGAGAAATTTGAACATTGTCTATCAGAAGATTTCATGAAAATACCAGATATATCAACTGATGAAACACGATACAAGGTTCTAGAACAGATAAACAATTTTCTTGAATCTATGGGAAGAGATATTAACTCATATGCCCTGGTTCCATATCTTTTAAATTTTAATGATCTCAACAAGAGCACGAGGGACACAATAGCAGAGACAAGAATCACTGTGCTAGAGTCTGATCTGCAAAAAATTGATCTATTAAACAATGATCAGAAAACTGCCTTTGATATAATCACTCATGCAGTCTTCCAAAAGAAACATGGATGCTTTTTTGTTGATGGTCCAGGTGGAACCGGAAAAACTTTCCTTTATCGAGCATTATTAGCTGAGGCAAGATCCAAAGGATTCATTGCGCTGGCTACAGCATCATGCGGAGTAGCAGCTTCAATATTGCCCGGTGGGAGAACAGCTCACTCAAGATTTAACATACCATTAGATACAACAAAAAATAAGAATTGCAGAATCAGCAAGCAAAGTTCGTCGGCAGAACTTCTGCAAAAAGCCAGTCTTATAATTTGGGATGAAGCTCCGATGATAAATAAAGGTTCAATAGAAGCTGTTGATAGATTACTCCAGGATCTAATGGACTCAAACGCCTTATTTGGATCTAAAGTGATCGTTTTCGGAGGAGATTTTCGACAGGTATTACCAGTTGTTCCTAAAGGAACAAAATCAGAATTCATTGATGCCAGCATAGTCAACTCATATATATGGCCACACCTTCATAAGCTTCAACTTACAGAAAACATGAGAGCAAGGGATGATCCAGAATTCATTGAATATTTGCTTCGTGTTGGAAATGGAACAGAGCCTACTGTCAACAACGACTGCATACAAATACCTCCATCAATGCTGATAAGATATACAAATGATGAAGATTCAATCAAACAGTTGACTACCACGGTATTCCCAGATTTGTCAATATTCTCTCATCATGATTTCTCAGCTGTAAATCGTGCTATACTCACAACAAAAAATGAGTTTGTTGATCAGATTAATCAGCAGCTCATACACGATATGCCTGGTTGCATTCAAGAATACATTAGCCGAGACAAATGTATTGAAGATTCTGACCAAACAATCATGGAGGACTTCATAAATGCCCTAACACCAAATGGATTTCCACCTCACAAATTGATTCTCAAGCCAAACACTCCAATTATGCTCCTCAGAAATATTGATCCGCCCCAAGGACTATGCAATGGAACAAGGCTCATCTGCAAATCCTTAAAGTCCAATGTCATATATGCTACAATAAGTTGTGGAGAATTCACTGGCAAGGAAGTCTTCCTTCACAGAATCTGCTTCAGAATAGAAAATGATCCAGAGTCGCCAGTATCTTTTGAAAGAATACAATTTCCTATTCGACCATGCTTCGCTATGACTATCAATAAAGCTCAAGGGCAGACTCTAGATTTTGTGGGAATATATTTACGTGAACCAGTTTTTTCACACGGCCAGTTATATGTAGCAATGTCAAGAGCTAAGAACAAGAGTTCAATAAAAATTCTGATCAAACCAGCTATATTTAGCACTGGAGAAGACTCAATAACACATAATGTAGTATATAGAGAAGTATTAGATTTGGCAAATGAATAACTTTCTTATCTATTCATGCGCATATGGTTCTATAGCATACATTAAGAATTCTGTTCTCATATTTCTGCTCAGAAACTACCCATTACTTGCTCTTCTGAATTACAGGATGACAGAAAAGTGATAGGTTTTGCTGAAATCGTTCCCGGACTTCAATACTGGACAACGATAGCCCAAGTCCTTGACAAGCAGAAACCTCTACTATCAAAAGCAGGAAATCGTTATCAGAAGCTTACTCTGATTGATAACCAGGTAAACACATGAATAAATTCTGTCACAGAATTATTATATCTCACTGTACACTTTCGCATTCTAATCAAAACCAAATTTCATGTATAGGGAATTACAGTGGAAGCTATGATATACAAGTCAGATATAGAATTCTTCCGCAACCACTTCAACTTGTACAAACGTTACATGATATCCAATGCAAGAGTTGAATACACTCCGCTGGAATACCGTGCACATGAAAATCAATGCACCTGGTATATTGACAACTCTACCAACTGTCAATGGTTCCAGACTCCAGATCCGTGTACCAATCAAAGGCATTACCCTTCAGCGAGCGAACAAACTGCTTAACCAGCAAGTCACCATCAGTGCCCGCATTGTTACAAGTTTCCACGAAGTGTGCTACATGTTGCTTAGGGTTGCCCTTGCCATCAAATTGTTGAAATTTTGGAGGTTGATACCCCACAGGCATTTTCAAACTTTCCACTCTAGCGGTGTAAGGTTTGGTGTAACCACTATATGACTTGGCACCTCCACCAATCTTGTCCTTGATTGTGCCTTCGATAAATTCCTTCAGATTGTCAACATGAATGGTGCCATCAGGGGAGATCGAAAATTCCTTCGCCGCTTGTGACTTCGCATCCTCTTTTTCCTTCTCCCTTGATGACGAGTCCCCTTCATCTTGCACTTTGAATTTCTGTTTGGACATACTAAGGCTATTTTCGCCTATATTTTCCACCATATCCATTAACTTGACTATCTTGGCATCTTGACTTTGCGCATGCACTACCAGCCCTTCGACAATTTTGGCTAGATTCGAGATCTGGTCTTCCACAGTTGTGGTATTGGTCATCATGACGGGCATCACCACAGAGGCAGCCGAATCACTTGGGCTACCAATAGATTCATCATGGGCTCCTTTCTTGCTAGGAAGCATCTCGAGATTTGCTTCTTCAGTCACAACATTCGCCTTAGCCTTCTCTGCTAACTTCTTGGCCTTACTCCTTGTCAGAGGTGCAGTATACTGCGTCCCTTGAGTGGTTGAGACATCAGCAACTAAGCCTTCAAGAGAAAAGTTCACCTTCTTGAACTCCATTGAATTTTGGAACTGGTAAGTTGTTGGAAGAAAAGAGATGAGAGGCAGAGATTGTCCCACTGGGCGTGCCAGAAATTTGTAAGCACAAATTTTGTTGCCTGAAATAAAAGTCAAGAAAACTTGCACAAATATCAAATTTATTAAATCAAATAATAAGCGGGTTACAATCTCTGAAAGTTCTTGAATCAAAGAAATTAATCCCCTGATTCTTTTCTTCGAATAGCTTCAATTGAAGGGCCGAAAAGACTTGTTCTCCAATCGAAAGGGTGTTTCCTACAATTTCGGCGTAGAAAACGATTGATTTGATGATGGCGTCAAACACTTGGAACTTCGAGTCTTCAACACCGATAGCAGGAGGATTTGTTTGACTTGATTTGGATTTGGATTTGAGGAAGAAAGCTCTTGAGGGAATTTGACAGAGTTTCTCCGAATGTTAGGGATTTTTTTTATATCCCTGCCTTGAGGGAAGACCTTTATTTATAGCCAAATTATGTAGGCTAGGTCTTCAAGAAAACCTTCCGAATCTTCCTGCTTTTTGGATCACTTGTTACCCAAGAAATCCATTTAACTTGGGCTTAAATATTGGGCCAACCCAAATAGTCCACTGTGAATTAATAAAACAATCAATTCACTCTAACTTAAATGGACACTATGAATTTGATTTGATTTAATGGCCCATATAATATTGGCCCAATTTGCCAGTCCAAAACATAATGGACTTCTATAATTTAATTTAATTTAATTTAATTTAATTTAATCAAGATCGATTTAATTTAAATAAATCTTGACTAAAATAAATTAAATAAATTTTCTTTGTCTACATACACTTTCTTCACTCGGTAGTTATTGGTCACGACGTCTATCACGATGGCCTCGTGGTTTCCAGACGCCAGGGGAACCGGATCCCTTGGTCCGAAGGTAATCTCCTCATCCATGCGCAAGCGTTTCAGGGAGTCATCCCCCTCGGGGAGAGGCCGCCTGTTCTTCCGAGATGCATGGCTGTCCCCTCCCGTGGGGCCCCCAGCAATGGTGTTTATCACCCCTACTAAGTTCTGGGTGTCCTGGTCGGGAGAGTTGGCCCGAGGAACGTCACGCGGCTCAGGGCGGTCGCGACGCTGGCCCTCGCCCCCGCTCAGGGCGGTAGGCGCGTCCTGGCTCCTGGCCTGGTCGACTTGCCGCACGAATCGCCCCAGGAAGCCGCGCTGGATCAGATCTTCAATCTCCCTTTGCAGAGCCCAGCACCCCTCCGTATCATACCCAACATCACGGTGGAAGGCACAGTATCGATCCTGGTTCCTCTTGTTCCGGGGTTTTCCCATCTTAGGTGGCCGCTCCCCTAGGCCCTCCGCCTCCATAACGGCCAGAATCTGGGCTCTGGGCCGAGTTAGGGGGGTGTAGCCTTTTTCCGGAAGCGGCGGTTGAGCGGGGGCTTTCTCCTTTTAGAGCCGATCGAAAACATTCTTCTTGGTCGGGCCGTCCTTGTTCTCGGGGGGATTTTCCCGTCCCCTCCGATCTCCGAGCTCCCGATCTGATTATCTCTTCAGGCGGGCAGCCTCCTCTGCATTAGCGGCGGCGTGCGCCCTAGTCAAGAGCTCCTCTAGGCCTCCAGGGGGCTTCTCGACGAGCTTGTAGTAGAGCTTCTCCGCCCTGAGTCCGTTCATAAAGGCTGCCATGATTACTTTTTCGTCCTTATCCCTGATCTGCAAGCTCTCCGTGTTGAAGCGAGTCATGAAATTTCTCAGGGACTCGTCTGGCTTCTGCTTGATTGCCATCAAGTGAGCCGCGTTTTTCGAGTAAGTCTTCGAGGAGACAAACTGGACGGCGAACTGTTTGGCCAGTTCGAAGAAACTTTGAATGGACCCCGGTGCCAGACCCTGAAACCAGAGCCGGGCCTTCCCCTTCAGAAACATGGGGAAGGTTTTGCAGCGGTTTGCAGACGCATGTGCGTCAGGAAGACCGAGAGGTGGTCTTCCGGGTCGGTCGAGGCGTCATACAGCTCGATGTTTGGAATCTTGAACCTCCGGGGCAGTGGGTAGTTCTCTATCTCCAGGGTAAAAGGCGAGGTAGTGTAGTTGTCCTCGTACAACTACGGTCGCAGGATCTGCTCAAGCTCGTCCCGGACAGGCTTCCACTGGGGGTGGTCTCGCGGCCGGCTCTTGATAGATCGGGCGGGGGAGCGCTCAGGCTCCTTTCGCGCCAGCTTCCACGAGGAGGGATTCCTGGGCCGGCCCCCAGCGGACCGGTCGCGAGAGTACCCCTCGCTATCCCCGACCACCGAGGCCCGCGACCGAGAGGGAGTCCGTGGTCGTTTCCTCCTGGGGGACTGGTCCCGTGACTCATCCTCCGAGGGAACGGGAGGTGATTCCCTCTCCTTTCCCTTCGCCTTGGAGGTTTGTGCGCCCCCGGCTTCACCCCCCTCATTTGCCTGTCGAATTATATCCTCTAGCATGGGAAGGTTCTCCGTCACGAACTGAAAGATCTGCTGTCTTCGTTCCCCTGAGAGGGCTGAGCTCCCGGCGCCTCGAGCCGCCTCGGTCTCCACCCACCGGGACCCCTCGCCGGCCCCGGGATCGGTGTTCTCTACGGTTCGCTTGGAACGTGTTCTCGCCATCAACACAACTACTCGTACCTTTCTTTGGTTCCCACAGACGGCGCCAACTGAAGAAGCGCTGAGCTTCCCCGGACCGAGCTGACCTGATGAGCTCGGCGTGCCGATGAGGAGAGCGTGTCCCAAGCCTGCAAAACCAACAAGGGGGTGATCTGACAGGGGAGCCCCGAGGTCGTCCCCACGGGCACTCCGACGATCAAGTTAGTTTTCCGGTGAGTGGAATTCACGGGAAGTAACACAGTCGGGAGTAATTGGCGTATAGTGAGCGTACCTTGTGCAGTTGATGTGTGTTACCATTTATACCTGCTTGGGAGTCCGACCTCCGTACGTTTCAGGACCTGCCCAGAATAGTCTCAATCCCGTTCTGAGGGGGATCCTCCCCGCCCTCTACGGGATCGTTCCCTGGAGCTCCTCGGAGCCCTAGCAGCGGAGGGCCGCGGGACGGTTCCCATGGGCCCGGGGTCCAAGTCCAACTCAGGCCTCCCTGGGCTGCCACGTGTATAGGCCCAGGACGGGGCCTCTGCAGTCAGTAAATTCAGATTCTACAATTCTATCTTTTTCATTCCCAACCCCAAGTACTAGAAACCTCCTTAGAAAAAACTACTGGGACTGCGCAGATTTTTTTGGCGTAAGGTATTACTCCTAAATCTGAAAGGAGAATACATGTACAATTTTATCAATAGTCAGGCGCAAGTTTTGACACTGACAGCGTTTGTTCGTTAGTAACCATGCACGTTATTGTAGGCTAAGGTACTGCAGTACACGAATCTTGCACTAAAAGATAAAGCTGAAATGCCAAAAAAAAAGAAAGTATATTAAAGAAAATGAGTCATTGTTGAAGAGGTAAACGCCATGAAAATTTGTAATGAAATCTTTAATTAAGCGTGAAAAGTTCTAGATGTTTGAGGATCATTCTATGTTTTCTGGTCAAACTGTGTCTAATTATATTAAACTGCTTCGATCGAGAACTTTTCACGAGAATGAGGAAATGGTTTAGATTATTTTAATTACACGTACGACAATCTTTTAGAGTCGGAGGTCTTAATTTGATATTTTTTGAACTTCAAT